TCAAACTGATAACACCTTACTATGACCATGAACTGGCAGTTTATCAAATTGTTAGGTTTACTGATATGAGAATTGGTGACAGCAAAAGCCCACAGGGTCCCCAGTGAGAAAGGGAACCAAATGAGGAAGAAAAGTACTAAGAGTCTGAGATACCACCACTTCGAGACACTGCTGGATATGAAGCTAGTGCCATTAGACAACAGATTCCACCCGGGGCTACTTAAAAGCTGCTTACTCTTCTCCCTAATCTTCCCAAAGCCTGAAAAGAACACTGATCAATGAGAAATTTATGAAAGAAAACAAAAAGTCTTTTTTAAAATTTCAAGTCAGAGAAGAAGAAGAGTAAGCTCACTTTGATTATAAAATTGGTATTACAATTGATAATAAACTACTTTCCCCGGATTCCCTGGAGCTAGTTTAACGGGAGCCATTTTTAAAGTCTGCTCTGAAGTTTATGGAATAGCAGAATGGACTGCAACTCAGAGAGGCCTGACATGACTGGATATTCTTTGGTAGGACATTAATCTAGGCATGTACTTCATCAGCAACATTAGTTGGCTGTGCTCTCTATCTTATAGGTGAGGTTCTCTCTGCCTCTATTCTACATCTGCTGTTTCTCTTTCCAAGGCTACCTAACAATCTCAAGTTTCCCAAGGAAAGGGCTTACACGAGATTCACTGATGTATCTTTCATTCTTGCCAAAACTTAAGGTGTGCTTTATTATAAAATCTATGGAATAAACACATCTCTTAATCAATCTAGTCTGCCTCAATTACCAACTCAAGTTCTGGTTCTCAGTCCTTCCTTTCTTTTAATTTTGTTGTTTTTCTTGATCTTCTGCCATTAAAAAACAACAACATTTTAACTCCTCAATGCTTTCCTTGTTTTTATGATTTCCGTACTCCTCTCTTCCTGATATAATTTTTAACTGTTCTGTTCTTCATATTATAGTTATTCTTGATTTCTTTTTCCTTTTATGTTTGTTCTTGATCATTCTATTCTCTTGTATTTCTTTCTCTCTCTCTCTCTCTTTTTTTTTTGCCTACTCTTCTTATTCCCTTCCATCTTTTATTTCTTTCATCTAGTACTTTTTTTATTTTTCTTTCCTTGCCTTTTTAGCTCCTTCCCTCTTAAGGATCTGTGTTAAATTTAGTTTCACCTGCATTTCTAAGAAAATAATACTTTCTTCATCAAAAGTACTCTCACAATTAAAGCACTGTGTCTTCGTTAACAAGGACACCAAGTTCAGGAGGAAACGGATATGCGGTTTCTTTATCCACTTCTTTCTGAGTATCCTCAATAGGAAGTATAACTACCATTTCTCATGAAGGTGATAAGGTATATAACCTACATGTCAACCAAATCAAGTCAGTGAGTACTTGTGGCACAGTCAGTAGAGAGTGACGGGGGAAGTGGCAGAAACTTTCAACAACCTGCTCTGAGCTGATCAGACAAAACAAGTGAACCACTTATCCAGTTAGATAGCTTCAGTTACAAGTCAGAGAAAACCCAACTGGACCTGGTTGAAACAAGAAAGGCTAACACAGTTGCAAATTCCCTAAGTAGCATTGCCACAAGAACCTATCTTCTTTCAGTCTCTCTGCATCGCATTCTACAGATTAGTTTTATTCTAGGCATGGCTCCACTCATAAACTCAGCCGATCCTAGGCCTGGCTCACATGCAACAGAAAAATCGATTCCCAGCAAAAGTCCTAAGATTTCATTGGATTAGTCTTGGTCATACACCTTCTTCTGAACCAGTCACTGTGAAAGGGGAGGTGGGTTACAACAATCTGCTAATGCTAGTTCATGTGCTCCACTTCTGGGTCCTGGATAGACAACTCCTGGGAACCACAGTCTCAAGAGAAGGAGCAACAAAGAATTTTATGCTGGGAAGGGAACTAGCACATTTCTACTACATGAGGCAAAGCTGAATGCAGATAGCACAAAATAACAAGCCTGTAATTTACTAAATATATATTCTTTTTCCATGGAGTTATTTTGATAATTATAAGATTATAAAAATGAGTAAACACATTTTACTTTATGAAAATGGTGCTCCTCTACATTTTTTTTTTACAATGAATTCCTCTAGGAACTCTTACTGAGAATATTGACCCCAACACAATTACTTATTATGATTGTTATGTAATTTAAATGTTCTTACTATCAAATAATGAGAAGAAAAAAAACCCCAGAATAATGAACCAAATGACTACTTGAGAAAATAATGATATTCTTGGGAGGAAAAAAGGTGCAAAAGATCACAGTGGTTTTTTAAAAAAAAGTAATATAAAGTCAGTTAAGCAAATATAGGAGGAAAATCATTTAAAAATGAGAAAAGACAATAAGAAGCACACTTCACAAGTGAGCAACTGTCAATCTCTCCTATTCCCAATCTCATGACAGCTCTTCTGACTAAATATTAAATAAAGACCTTATGGAATTAAAGGCCAGAACATTAACAACTGAACATACAGAAGAGTCATCTGGCTGGTCACCTGAGTATGGGCAGGGGTTAGGGGAGTGAGGGTAATTTTCAGAGTAGTAAAAGAAGTCAATTATAGATCGTTAGATCATATACAGGTATCCAAATAAATGAATGTCAGTCCTTAGTCCCCCCACAGAGGACTATGTATATTTTCTCGAGCTTCTGAATGTCCGCTTCAAAGGAATTCTCCCCAGTAAGGAGAAGACTTTTATTTTCTCAGTACTTAAAGAGACAAGAAAAATCAAATTTTATCTGCAACTGTGAGTCATCAGCCACTGCAGTTCTGTAACACGCAGGTCCCTGTTGCTGCAGCCCTTAGAAAGGAGAGGACTATCTTTTAATGGCACAAATAAATCCCTGCACTGCCTGCTTGCAAAGCATAATTAATTCTGGCCTTTTCATGCTTAATGAAACACCTTAAACACATGAGAGAAGTGAGTTTGAGCTTCTTGTGTATACTTAAAACAGGGAAAGCCCTCACCACAACCTAGTTCTACTCAAAATGCTGTATGTGACGCTTGTATGAATTCTGCAATCATTTCTTCACAATACATTTCTTAAAACAAGCAAATTGTGCTATGGAACACTTACAATCCACCACCTGTATGAACAATTCTCTTAACTTTTAAAGTGTGAAATATTTTGTTTTTCAGATTCTTGGCAGTAAACACATGACTTTGGCTCTTAACCTGTGGCTGCGATAGAAGGGTATTTAAACAAAGTAAACTCTTAGATGTAGCTGCTCAATATCATTTCCTTTTATTAGAATAATTTTTCATATTTTAATACATACCGCATGTTGTAGTACAGAGGCTATGATTCCACTGAGAATTTCAAAACGTAAATTTTCAAGGTTCCATTTCCAAACACAACTAACAATATGAGTAAAATTTTTGAAAAAAAAATTTAACTGAAATACTGTATTTACCTTGAAAGATGTACTCCTCTCTATAATAGTCAATTGTTCTAGCCCTGAGGAGTCTTGAAAGCAAATGCCTATTTTTAAAGAAGTTACTACTGCTATAAATGCAGTTTCTTTGCTTTAATTATAAATTGTACATAGAACAAGTGAATAATAAAATATAGAATTCACCTCACCTGTTTAGGTGTGACCCCAGGCATTTGAATATCTAATGCAAAATCAGATGAATCGATAGGAGTTACTGGTCGGGTGGTACCAAGACATTCATTGGAAAATGATCTGGTAGTTTCTTTAAACCTTAAAAAAAAAAAGATAATTTCAACATCTTTGAACATAATGGAATTTTAACTTGAAATGAGAAAGAAAAAAGAAAGGGATTCTATGACTGTAAAATTAAAGATTATTGATTTAGACCAGATGAAAAGATGTGATAACTACATAATATTCTAAAACATTCTCAGAATTGGACTTTATAGTCCATGAGCAATATATGTCTAACTTGTAAACAAAATTTAATCAAAGGAAACAAGCAGGTTACATTTAAAACTCAATTCAATAAAAACTTGTCAAATTACTTATTTGTTTCTAGTTAATGAAAATACAGTATTAATGAATCAGAAATTATCACAGACCTGACAATTTTCTAATGGAAGAAATATTAACAATAACCTAGTAACATTTTTGTGAGTATTTTGAGTGCCTCGTATTACTAGTCAGAAACAAAAACCAACAATAATAATGCTAGGAGGCAGAATAGGAGGTGGGGGGAGCTGTGATGTGAATTACAAATGTATAAGCGCATAAATATTTAATGTGGTAATTATGAGGAGTGTGTCTACAGCCCAGTGTTTTCCCGTGAGCTCTCCCAGCCCATGATCTGATTCTCCCCACCACTTACCTATATTGATATTTTATTCTTCCAGCTATTATAAAAGAAGGCATTCAAGTCTAAACGCCTAGATGTCGTTTCTGAAATATCTCCCCAAGAGGGAGCGATCTGTATTGGAAATCACAACTTCTAATTGAAGTTTTGAAAGCCAGTGCAGCCTGGCTTACACTACAGTGGGTTTGTGGTTTTTTTTTCCCCCTGTAAAGGGGACTTCACAAGAAGTTACTGTGCTAAAATCCCAAGTCAGCCCAGCAAAGTAAAGCAGCCTTGTCTATTCCTCCGACACGCAGGTCCCCAAAAGTGATCACAGTTTTCAACAGCATGCAGACACCACCCAAACAACATTCCGCCCGTTTAGACAGCAACAGCACACGCACCCACCTCTTAAAGACAGAAAGTGGGCTTCTGAACCCCAGGCTGCTGCTTGGAAACACGAGGAGGAGAAGTAGCAGGCTCCGAGCGCCAGCCATGTCCACGCCGCTCCGGCCCCGC